ATAGCAGGACAGAATATAGCGACACTGGAAGAGATGTATAGAGAGAGTAGGCAGAGTCAAAAGGAGAGACATCATGTAGCTGCTGAAGGAGACAGATGCCCCCAGAACTTTATGGGTATACCACAAGCCTAGTGGTAAAATATAAAACAAGAGGAATGGGTTAATTTAAGATTTAACTGTTAGTTATTAAGAAGCTTAAGCTAATAGGTCAAGCAGTGTTTTAATTAATATAGTTTCTGTGTGACTTTTTTGGGTCTGAGTGACTGGAAAATGAATGAGTAATCTCTGCCTAGAAAATGATGCCCAATGTGGGGTAACTATGCTCACATAGAACCTGAGAGAGTCTGAAGGCCTGATCTGAGTGCCTACAGCTGCTCTGAGCAAGAGACCTTCAGGAGTTCCTGATGGCAGGAGAGTGGTTTCTGGTGGGTTTGGCTGGGGCGTGACTATCTCTAACTCTAACTAAAGTCTTTCATCCATTCACTGATTTTTTTTAAAGTGCTTTTTGTTTGTCTCTGTGTTTATTTATTTTTATGTCTTTATATACCCAACTAAATTTAGCTAGTCAACTAAATCTACTCTAACTGAAACTGTGAGGGAGATGGTTAATAAATTATACCTTAAATTTCCTCTTATGTAATTTTATTCTGAAAAATATTGAGGCCATATGGGCTATCTCCCAACCACTTTGTCATATCTCCTCTTGTGTCCTTGTTTACTTCATGTTTAAGCATCCATGTAGGTTAAACTTTGTAGGTGTCCTTCTGACATTGCTAGGAGACACAGTCTCACAGCAAACTTCCTGATTGTCTGGCTCATACAATATTTCTGCCCTTCTTCCTCAATGTTCCTTGAGCCCTGCATATGGGAGTGTTTTGTAGATGGGGACTTGGTTCCAAAGCTTTGAATTTTATTTATTATAGTTTTCCTTAATATTCTTTGCTGCAAAGAGAGAAAAAAGTCTAAAGGGGGTCTGAAACCTACAAAAAAAAAAAACAAAAAAAAAACCTACAAGCAGCTAAGGAATGCTCGGAGTGGAGCAAAAGGAACAGTTTTATGCAGGGGAGGTCTCATCAGTTGGTTATCAGACACCAAATAGTGAACCTGTGGTGACATGTTGTTTGTACAAATAAGCTTGCCTGAAGATCTGGGGCAGAGCTAGTCACTTGCTAACTATAGCTGTCTGGAGGTATGTATGGCTGTGCAGAGAGAGGAAGAGATAAGGTGTTAGGAGACAGGAATTCAGTCTCTTTTCAGCTGGGAAGTTGAGAGGTAAGGTGGCTATGATCTTATTCCTTCATCTTTCTAATCTTTTAGTATTTCCCTGTGTCTGACTCCTGGCTTTTATTATTAAGACCTACTAGAACTTGTGCTACATGAATGAACCCAGAAAACCTTCGTGAAAGTAACATTGTATATCCTGATATATGTGCATACACACACACACGTATACACATATATAGATATATAAAACAATAGTCAATGAAAAAGATAAGTCCAAGGTCTGTGTGGAGGGTTTGGAGGAAAAAAAGGAGGGTGAAATGTTGTATTTATTATTTTCAAAAATAAAACAAATAATGAAAAAATATTGAAAGTAAATTCCTTATGAATTTGAAATCAATAGTAAAAAATGTTTAATACCTGTTGACTTTTGTACTCAATATAATCAAGCTAATGAAGTAAAAAGTCAAAAAGTATTAAACCTGTTTTACTGTTGTTTCCAAATTTTGCAAAAAAAAAAAACATTGTAAATGTGAAAAAGTCAAATGAGAGCCCTTGGTAGTGTGGTACTCAGGCAGCAATAAAATCAAGCTAATGAATGCCTGAGTATTCTCTACCAAGGGCTCTTATTTGACCTTTTTTACTTTTACAATGTCTTTCCCTACCTATTCATTTCCATATAACTACTTAATTCTAAGTCTTTGCTTCTTTTGCTTTTGAGGTTAGAAGTCCACACTTTTTATCTTAACATACTAGATTTATTTTAATAGCCATACAATGTCCTTTGTGTTTACATTTTGTACATATAAATTGCATATGATAATTTATGTTAGAAAATCTGAGTAAATAGTTTTGCATCTCTTACATTTATGAATCTAGAGAATAAATTCCTGATGGTGAAACGGATGTATCAAAACTACTTTTATGATTTTGATAGGTATTACCAAGTTGTTCTTTATAAAGCTCTCTCAGTCTCTGTGGTCACACACAACATCTGAAAGTGATTGTGCCTTCTTCCATCCCCTGAGTCATCTTTGTGATCTTTTCCAGTCTGATGCATGGAAAAGCTTTCATGACGGGCCATTCTACTCATAACATTCATGTTCAGAGGACAGCTTGGTGGATTAATTCCCACAGATATTAAGTACCCTGGCCAACAAGGCTAAAGCATTTCTCTCTTTCCTGAATCAAGCAATTATATTTTAAACTATGCTGCTGCATGCCTATCTTTAGGGTTGAAATTTCTCAAAGAAAATAATAATGTTTGACCACAGCTGATACTGTAGCATAAGAAGTTCATCGAGTATTACCGAATACCAGCAGAAGAGTAAAGTTGTTCATAAACCAAGACTAAGAAGAAAGATTCGGACCATGGAAAACTGGATACCTTCCGTGCATCCCACTATGCCTATGGAGTTTTTTTAATAACACCATCTGCCCAGAAATCGCTTCACCATCAAGTCTGCATATTGATGTATTATTATATCCAGTTGTGCATATGTCGTGGTAAAGAATTAACATAATTTTCAACAAAAAGTTGAGTGATATATGAAGAAGCAAAAGAAAAGTAAACCCTGGAGTTTGCAATAACCACTAGACTACTGGAGTCTCTTCCTGCTTTACCATTCTAAGGGAATCATGTTTTTAAACTGGCTGCATATAACTCCAGAGTTTAAAGAACCATCAAAGTATTTCCTATTTTGTACATTTTCAAGACAGAGAAATATTTTTAAACATGCACATGCTAAAGCTGGGTAAAAGTATGATTATAAACATAAAGCTCAACTTGTAATATCTATCTTAAATCGTTTTCAGATGTTTCAATAATTTATAGAAAGACATTCTGTCCATCTCCTAAAGGCTAGAGCACTCAATTTTAAAACTCCCTATTTATTGTTAATTAGATTTAAAAAAAAACCACTTGTCTTCCAGAAACATGTATAAATACTTCTTAAATTCCATTAAAGGTCACAGCTTGGGTCATAGTTATTGGAATTTTACAATGATTCTAAACCATCTAGATAATGTGTAGTAATATATCTTTTCAACAATAAACACGAGACACTAACTTCCTTCCAAAATTTGTTAATTCTTGTCTCCTAGCGACACAAAAAGAATGCACTGAAAGTTTCTCTTGGAGAAAAGTGGTCAGTTAATTTAGTTTTAAATTTCCTAGGATGATACAAAATCTGAGTTAATGTGAGAGGAATATACATACTGTTTATGAATAAACAAGAAACCTCACTCATTCCATCAAGTATTTATAAAGTGCCTAAACCACTCCAGGCTAAGAAAGTTGAGAAAGATGCAATCAGGTATGTTTTTAATAAGATGTAATTAAGAAACGAGACGTTGGGGGTTGAAGCATGATGCAACTGCTCTCTGATCTTGCCTTTCCAGAAAGTGACCAAACACTGGAAGCAATAAGATACGTTTTACAGAAGAGAATAAAAAGATCCCAAATAGAGCCCCTAAAGCAAAGCCTTTATTCCCCACATCATTCTCAGGTCTGCAGTGAAGAACTCAGATCTAGGAATGGGTATGTCTTTAAGTGTAAAGAGACAGAGAGGGTGGTCCAGAGGCAATGGCTGCAGGATTATTTGCATAAGCACCCAAACACTTGCTACGTCACCACGCTGGCCTCTGGGCCCCGCCCAGTCCTACTCCAACCTTTTTCCACTAGGGTGGAAAGGGAAAGAAAGATGTCAGATTAGCTATGCTAAGGAGCACTTTCAATGCCGCTTCTCAGCTCACTGATAAAAGAAGAAAACACACAAACAAACTCCCTTGGAGCCCTTGAAAGCAGACTCTCTCTGGCCACTCAGACCCCACTCCTACCCTAGCCCACTACCCCGATGGGATTCAGATTCATTCCTTTGCTTAAGGCTGGTGAGCAAGTTAAGAAAGTGAGGCTTTCGCTCCGGTGTACAACATTCCTGCATTCAAATTTTTCTGCGCTGTCACACACAGAACAACCAAGTGCGTGGACTACGCAGAAGGCGTAGGGATGCCCAGTCCCTCTCCAGCCCCAGCCGTTCCTTAAGTTCCCTGTGCCACCATTCTCTCCACGACCCGCTCAGTCGCCCTTTCCGATTCCAGGATGCAGAGAAACGCGATGCTACGCTTTCTCCAGCAACCACGTGCCGAGTGTTCGCCTAAAGGCTGGTTTTCGGGCAACCCATCACAGGATGCCTCCAGCGAGAGAGAATCGAATCCGGTTCACGAAATAGCGTGCTTGATAGACTTGTGGTGCTGTGGCAAATGATCCACGAGCCCTCAGGAAAAAGGCTCGCTACTCTCCCGCCTCACCTCCCGCCCTTATGAGGATTAGATTCCAATTTACTTCAGGAGCGCAGCTATGCTCTAACACCAACTTTCCTCTCGGACTTCCCCTGTCAACCCCCCCCCCCCCCTCCGCCCGCACCCGTCAACTCCCTGCTCGATTTGGAAAGGAGCCTGTCTCCTCGGATGCACCAGGCAGTTTCCACCTAGGTTAGGAAGGATGGCAGCACGTTTTGACCCACGTGTTTCCCCCCACAAGTGCCGCCTCGGACCCCCACCCACCCGAACCCTAATTTGCACAGGTGCAGGACGCGGAGCTGGAGGGTATCCTCAGAAACCAGTTCCATTCTTCCGCGTTTCCCTTTGCCCTTCCTCCTTCCGTCCCAGGAGCTCCATCCCTGCATCCTGCTGTCCTTTCCGGCGTCTGACTCTAGGGTGTCTAAGAGAGAGCCCCACCCTACCCCTGGCGGTGCTCCAGCACCGGAGCGTGACATTACCTCTGGTGCTTCTGGAGCCTGCACCTCTTACTGTTTCCTAGGTCGAGAAAGGGTCGGATCCAGGTAACGGGGCCAGAAGCTGCAGAGGAGCTGTCTGGAGAGCAGAAACAGCTTGCCAAGGACAGGCTTGGTTTCGGGAGTCGCTGTCCTGCAGACTGGCACCAAGAGATTCGTGAGCGCCTGTGTCTGCCACTGAAATGGCATGGGATGCTGGTGCGCGGTTCCTGGTGTGTGTGTTTTGGTTTATGTGTGTATGTGTGTGTGTGTGTGTGAGTGCGCGCGCCCGGGCCTGTGTGTGTGTGTGTGTGTGTGTGTGTGTGTGTGTGTGTGTGTGTGAGTGAGGGTGTGACGGAGGCTCCCACGTGTCCAGCCAGCCTGTGCTGCGGCCCCCCGACAGGCTGCGGGGGAGAGGAGGTGGTTGCGGGCGGGGAACCGGCGCCAAGGATTGAGCCTGGTCTGCAGGCTGGGAGCCTCCTCTCCTCCCCACCACTTCGTGACGCAGAGGTCACTGCGGCTGCCTGCTGCGTCCTCCCAGCGCGCAGGGCTAGGCCGGTGGCACGCTGGGTGGGTCTGGGGAAGCCCCCACGTAAAACAGATTACCCCTCCCTTCGACCCCCCCCCCCCCCCCCGGCCCCACGAGCTATTCTACATCTGTCTTCTAACCCACTCAACTAAAAGGATGGGCACTAGTTGCCTACCAAGGTCTTTGTCTTTGGGAGGATAACAATTGCATAGGGCTTGCTCTTCTACTCTTGCAGAATCAGTAAGGAGTCTAGGGATGAGGGCTCCTGGGCTTTCTTCCGGTGCCACCATTTACATATTTTGTGAAAGAAAAGCGCTTGGGGCTTTGCTTATCATCAGAGTACTGCCTGCCTCAAGGATTATGGTTAGGCTGTGTAAAATTAAACCGGTTTTAGAGAGCTGGCCCTCACTCATTGCGTGTGTCAGGTATCAGAATCTTCTAAAGCAGAGTCTACCAGCTGAAGTTTGACTTACCTCTTCCCATACTCAAAGCAGGCTCTCAGTTAAGCCACGTGGGGGGAATTCCTAAAATATACATGGATGAAGACAAAGCTTTGCCTCCTTTGTAGAATCGCTGAACTCTTCCCTAAACATATTCCCTAGGATTTTGATAGGCAATAAATTTGTGGGCGCTGAAACTTTACATTTTTGAGAGAAATGCAAAACGACCCTAGAACATATTGCGGAAGAATAGGTTTCGTTCTTTAGTGAGGTGCATTTCTTCATTTCTAGAAGATTAATATTAGTGAGAATGTTTGTGCCTTTCTAAGCCTTCCACAGCTCCCTTCAGTTTTAACTGTTTGTATCCAATTAACACAGACTTTAGTAGTAAGGTAGTTACTACTTTCTCAAAGTAAGGCATGTCTTGGAAAGGCATCACAAGACCTGCATTTCAGGTCAGATCATGGCTACTAATCCTTTGAAAGGAACCAGGAGAACTTTTCCCATCCGCCTCTCTTCAAAGTCGTCTTAAAAAATATATTATGTGACAAAATTTATCCCTGGGAGAACCCCTCCTCTGCCACCGTTGAAGATCTTCTGTAGAAAAAAAAATAGAGAAAAAATGGAAAGCATCTACAAGGAGTTCCGTACCGAAGATCTTAGATAATAATGTGCTTCTTTTTTTTCCCCTAGTACTGGTGGTGTGCAAATGTTTATGTAGTCTTAAACATTGCTTTATATGTTGAAGCAGAAGTCTTAATACTTCAGGAAAAGAATGTCAGAAAATGAATATTGCTATTTGGGTGTGGGGGGAAGTAATATGTTTGCTTCCACGAATGTTTTCCTTGGAACTAGTACATAATTAAAGTCCATGTGCCTTATACTATTCCACTGATAATGGACCTCTACTTTAAATGCACGTAACAAGCTACTTGTCATAAAATATATCGATGTCCCTATTAACTACTAGTGTATTTGATGTCCATAAAGGAATGCTAGGAAAACAACTGAAGCTTATGGCTAATTACTTGAGGATTTGATCACATTTTCCTTAATCTCTTCAGCTAATTACTATAGGCAATGTTCTTAACTTAGAGATTTGAGAATGGTGACACTCAGGAAAAAAAAAAAACACTTCAAAGTTCATAGAGATAGTAAAATATAAACTTAGACCCTTTGTCTTCTGTAAATCTGTCCTCAGTACCAGCTTTGAGATATTTTGTAAGCTTTTAGTTAATTTACAGATTTCTTTAATGAGAGGAATTAACAAGAGTTAGTCACCTAGAAAACAAAGAGTGGAGTAGGAGTGGAAGGATTGTCCTCCTGAATTCAGGGAACTCCAGTCACAGGTAAAAAGCATTTCTGTTTTCGTTTTAACAACAGTGCTCCAAGATTTAAGGCTCAATTTGCTAATATCTGTTCTACTAGGAATTCCTGAGTGCCCTTACTCTTTTTGTACAAAACGATCACGTGGTGTTGATGTGCAGGAAGGGATAGTATCCGAAGCAACCTACTGATCCAGTGAGAAACCCTGTCTCAGGAGAATAAAGCACATATGCTATACAAGCACATACCTGAAGCACAATTAATAAAGTTGCAAGAGTCAGTTCACCCCTACAGGTATGAGAGCAGAAAACAATCACTGGGATGAGGAGACCGGTGGAGCTGCCTAAAATTTGTGAAATGAGCCCCAGGAGAGCAGCCTCCTAAGACATCCTTGGTGACAGGGTGGACTTGTATACAATGCAGCTGTCTTTGTTCACCTTTCTTCCATGCTTCTGTGAATAACTCAAAAGGATGACTGGTTTGCTAGGCTAAACTTTGATAAAACCACATCTTTGGTCTGCTGATGTCCTGTCTGGAAGATTAGACGCTTGCTTGTCATGTCTCCATAGGAAAAGTCACACGTTATGACAGTAACAAAGAGACAAAAGTCAATCCAACAAAGTATCACATGACTACAAATGACTCTTTGGGATTCCCCTCCTCTTATGGACTTCCTTCTCTTTCACCCATTCCTTCTTATTCTTAGGAGACTATTTTTCTCCCCCACTCTCTCCTTCCCTTGTTGCCTTCCTCTTGTTTTGTTTTTAGTTACTTATGATCGACATTATTTTGGTTGTGTTCATTTTACAAAATGAAGTATGGTGATTTTATAACTTATTGAATTGTAAAATTGCCTTCATGTATCATTTAAGAAGAATATCTTCTTAGAGAGATTGGAATCAATCAGCTTATAAAACAGTTTGGATATAGAAGCCTGTCCATGATATGTCATTTTTCTCAGTCTTTTAAATTGTGTCTATTTAGATTTCTTTCTTTCTTTGTAGTCATTTTGGAAGTTTTTTTTTAAGTATCATAATATCAAATAAGTTTTAAATATGCATAGAACTATTAACTATCATAAAAAAATAAGTTTGCTCATTAAGCAGGTGTTTTAGTGTGTTCAAGCTCCTGTAAGACATCATAGTCTGGTTGTCGGAAACAATAAACATTTCTTTCCTCCAGGTCTAGAGACTGAAGTGTATAGTAAGCTGCTGCCAAATATGGAGATTGATGACTGTTTCTTCCTGGAATGTAGATGCAAACTTCTTGATGTATCCGTATAAGGCAGAGAAAAGGGGGAAGCAGAGCAATCTCTTGACTCTTGTCCTACTAAGAGCACTAAGCTTATTCATGAGGGATAAGCTCCCATGAAACAATTACCTAATTTTGGACTACCCATGCCAACTTATGTTAGCCAGGCTTCCTGCCCAGTTCACCACATCAAATGTCAGTTGCTCATAACACAAAACATGCCTTTTCTTACATATTCTATATTTCTGAAGCTATAGTCTCTTCTGATCTGTTCAGAGTCATGTTTCTTCTCACTGTGGATCTTACCTCGAGAAAGAAACTTGATTCAGGTCCCATCTCTTACCTTCACAAGAAGGAAGAGCAAGAACACAAGCAGAATCCTGCAATAATCACTTGTTGCTCTCTCAGGTTAGCCAAGTTCAAGTCCCCACACTTACATTGTTGCTAATGAGGTATAACTCCAATTCTGATGTTTTGTTCTGGCCTCTGTTGGTCCTGGATGCATGTGGCTCATAGTCACTTGTGGGAAAACACCTATGCACAATGAACATATACATAAATAAAATCTTAGAAATAGAAAGTATGATGGCTTGGCCCTCCCTTAATATATTGAATATTCAAGACATTTTGGAATTTCTCCCCTTTTGCTCATTGGAAATGAGAATTCTTTATAAGTTTCTTCAAATCCTGGAATTTCTGGGCTAAGTTTTTTATCTCTTCTTTTAAAAGAGTCAAATCTTGGAACTGCAGAGCTAGTTCAGAAGTTAAGAGAATATAAAAGACTGGGATTCAGTATTCAGCATCCATGTCAACCAGCTCACAATTGCTTGTAACTCCAGCTCCAGGAATATTGCCTTCTTGCATCCATGGGCATTGCATTCACCTATACAAATTTGCACATATGCACATACATGCACTTAAAATTAAAAACAAAATTCTTTTTAAAAAGAACAAAATCTTATATTCATCTGTTATATGGAAATATTTCAATAAGGTAAAGGAAAAAATGATATTTGCTTTTTATATATTTTTCCATAACCATGTATTTAGATAGATTATCTATTTTGTAGATTATTGAAATGACCAGATTTACCAAATATGTCTGAATAGTTTCATATTGATTGCTGTTTTTTTACTTTTGGTAACTGTTAACCTTATACTCATTACCTTATCCAAACTGGATGCCACATGTATAGTATCTTTTGCTGATCTATTCGGCTCCATGGCCCATTTTTAAATAGCTCATGTGTTTACTTGATTCTTTTTTTTTTCTTGGTATAGTCTGGGTATAATCAGATTTGGAGCTAGCAAAGATTCTTTTCTATTTTATGAGTTTCCAATTTACTCAACAACAACCAAAACAACAACAACAAAACATAATATCTCAGGTGATTAAAAGTTAGGCAATTTAGGAGGCAGAGATAGCTCCATAGAGGTACCAACTTTGCTTCCCAGCACCTACATGGTGGCTTACAACTGTGTGTAAACCAGTTCCAGAAGACCCAGCAGAGGTGAGAGGCAATAAATCCCGCTGGAGCTAGGGTCACTGGCAGTCCTGAGCCATATGATTTGGGTGGAGGGAACTGAAGATGGTTCCTTCTTTGCTATACAGAAGTTTTTCAGTTTTATGAGGTCTCAGTTGTCGATTATTTGCCTGAAATCCAGAGTGAACTGAGTCCTATTCAGAAAGTCCTCTCCAACACTTATGTTTTAGAAGGACATGAGGTACTAGTACTTGCAGAGTAACCAGAATTGTTAAATACATGTTACTGCTGTTTTGTTTTGTTTTACAAAGAAAGAAAATGCCACCTGTTCACCCAGAAGGCTGGAGTGGATGTTTTCTAACGACCTTCTGATTCTTTGCTATTCTATGGACCCAACCTTCACCTAAATACCCCAGAATCCTGAGCATTGG